ACTTATTTATGAACACCTTTAAAATATTTAAAAAAATAAATACTAACCTTATCGACCTCCCACCATGCAGGATAAAGTTTAGCTTGTCCATTAGCCAACACATATGATTCTTGTCGTTGATTCTTCAAGTGAACTACGTGAAAAGACGTCGACATAATTATATATCGCGTATTTTTTTCCCTCATTTTCCTTATCATTAGAAGACGTGACACCCATGCATCAATATGCTGTTTTACAAAAAAAGACAAATATTAGTGAATTACATAAATTTAAAAAAAATAATCAAAATGAAATATAAGAAAAATATAAGACTTATCCCCCCATCGAAATAGCCTTTGTCTTCAACCCCTAATAACACACCCCACCAAGACCGATCAATCAAATGCATATCATCGTTGAGTTTGTATATGTCATCGTAACACCCCTGGCTTCGCTCATGTAGATAAAAATCAACTGCGGTCTTAGCCCAAAGGGTATTATCCAGAATTGTTTTCGGTAGTTTTCTCCTCTCCACTTCATCTGTCGGAATGGTACTGGCCGGTAACTCATACGAAAGCCAACAATCATCCATCATGTCCGGCACGTGAGAGGGTTTCTCAATAATTTGACATATTACACCGTGTGAATTGGGCTCTTGAATGGTGGGAGGGACCTCTTCAACGATGACATGGGCCTCTTGAACGGTGAGAGGAGACTCTTGAGGGATGATAGGGGCCTCTTGAACGATAGGAGAGGCCTCTTGAACGATGACAGGTGAGTCGGGCTTCTTCTTACGGAGTCTTCGCACTATTGGGGTGAACAGAGACGTAATGGCACGTGCACGCCGTCTGATACGTGAACCCCGTCGTGCAAGAAAAACCCGACGTAAAGCATCCACCTTATCGGGCCGCTAAAAATAAATTAATACATAAATCAGTAAATAAACAGACATGATGTTAAACAGTGAAAACAAAGACAAATATGTTTCAAACTTGCACGGTATTCACCCAAGTCATTATTCTATCATAGTTCACAAAATGCATCAGATAACATTCCAAAAGTAAGCACTTATATAAACATTTAAAAGGACAACATATAGGTTTAGTGCATGTTCAAGGACAACATAAAGAGTAGTAGTTTATTCTTGAAACTTAAATTTACAACACTGTGAAGTTAGTATTTGTCTTTGTATTTTGGTTGAAGTAATGCAATCCATTCAAGTTTCAATTTGCAGAAGAAAAATTGTTTCTGAAACTTAAAATCGCAACACGAAACTTAAAATCGCAACGTGAAAATAACTATCGCAACGCGGAAATGACTATCGCAACGGGAATTTGACTATCGCAACGGGATAATCGCAATGCGAAATAAAAATCGCAACGCGAAACCAAAATCGCAACGCGAAACTAAATTCGCGTTGCGATTTTCATTTTCGCATTGCGATTTTCACGTTGCGATTTTTATTTCGCATTGCGATTATCCCGTTGCAATAGTCAAATTCGCGTTGTGATTTTAAGTTTCGTGTTGCGACTATTCTTCTTCTGCAAATTGAAACTTGAATGGATTGCATTACTTCAACCAAAAGACAAAACAAAGACAAATACTAACTTCACATGGTTATTTTAGAACTGTTTAACAGTATTGGCAGCAATTGAATGAATTTACTAAGCAATCTAAGTGAAATGGTTAATCTGAGTGAAATTACGAGTAAATCGAGTTAAATATGAAAAATCTTAAACTTACCTCGTTGCGTAGAGTATGAACCTCATTCTACAACGATGCTACCATCTCACGTAGAGTCGCTACCTCACCACGTAAAGTAGATACCTCATCACGCCATGCACCATTGTCATCGCGTAAAGTACCGACCTCCTCACGCAAGGTATTGACCTCATCACGTAACTCCCCTAACTCATCCCGTAGAGGTGGAGAACAGGGAGATAAATGTCGTGGCATCTTTGCCGGTCGCCTATCATGAGGTGATGGTGGAGAAGAGGCTCGATGATGTGACAGAATAGGTGATGGCTCTAGTTGTAGAGGTGTATAGTGTGGTCGATCAGGTGATGGCTCTCGAAGTGGAGGCTGCTCATCATCCGTGCCATAAAAAAAAACGCTTACTAGCTTGCCACCAATTAGTGGCAAGCTCAGCTTCCGTGGGTGTCAGCCTCTGTAATAGAGTGTTGGCCTCATCACAATATAAAAGCTCAAACAAAGTTAAACGTGTACTAGTAATAACTTGTTTATATATGGTAGTATTTGTGTTAACTTACATCATTTATTGTCGTATACCGTATTAATTCTTCCCAAATCAATAACCGTCGTTTCCTCTTCCAGGAAATAGCCCTAGGAATATCATTTGAAGTTTTTAATGCATATGTCTGCATGTCGGGAAAATCCTCAAATATCCAAATCTACAAACAATATAATACACAAATATTAGTAATTGTTAAATAATTAATTACAATTTTGGAAACATTTTATAGAAATTCTGACCTTAAAGGCCCAAATAAAGCCTGACAAAGTGTATTTGGAACCATCGCCACACAAACTTTTGCGGTCATCAAAGGCAGACGACAACTTATTCCAGGTAGTTTTCCATAGATACGAACCCCATGGAAACATGTTCCATGCATTTAGGTCCTCTACCAATAATATTAGGTCCTTAGGAATAGGTTGTCTGGCCTATCTGCCTAAAAAGCCGGCATGCAAAAGTACTAAAAAGCATACTCGGACAACATTGACGTCATCCATCCGAGTAAAACCATATTTCTTATTAAATAATCTCGTCAAGTCGTCGACGTGTAAATTCGGCTTCTCCATTGACAGCTCCGGAAAAACCTGGGATAACCATGATGGGCGGGTAATATGACTAGTGTATCGACCTACATCATCGTGTCCGAAGCGTAGACTAGTGATTAAGCAAAACTCCTCCCGCCCAAAACACGTATACGCCGGTGGAAAATGAAACCATATCTCTTCATTACCACGCTTTATACTCTCGGGTAGATCGCTAGTCATGGTCTGAAGTCATAAATGGGTCAACATAGCATCTTCACCCGGATGTTGTACTTTCAGCCATGGCCCGAAGCAAGTATCCTCAAACAATTTTCTTTGTACATGTGAAAGCTTTGAGGCAATTGTATTGACTAGGCTTATTTTATTCCTTAAGGTCAATTGAGCCGAAAAAAAGTTCTATAAAAACAATAAACATACCAATTTAGATATACCAAAAACTACACTGTGAAGATATACCAAAAACAATAATAAACATAAAGAGTAGTAGTAGTTTATTCTTCAAACTTAAATTTGTAACACTGTGAATTTCGTATTTGTCTTTGTTTTTTGGTTGAAGTAATACAATTCATTCAAGTTTCAATTTGCAGAAGAAGAATAGTTTCTGAAACTTAAAATCGCAACACGAAAATGAAAATCGCAACACGAAAATGAAAATCGCAACACGAAAATGACTATCGCAACGCAAATTTGACTATCGCAACAAGATAATCGCAACGCGAAATGAAAATCGCAACGCGAAACTAAAATCGCGTTGCGATTTTGTCGTTGCGATTTTCATTTCGCGTTGCGATCCCCGGTTTCAAATAGTCATTGTCTAAAATTGAAACTTGAATGAATTGCATTACTTTAACCAAAATATAAAACAAAGACAAATATTAACTTTACAAGGTTAAAGACTAAACAGTTTAGCAGTATTGTCAGCAATTGAATGAATTTAATAAGCAATCTAAGTGAAATGATTAATCTATTATTGAAATTACCAGTAAACTTATCATCAATTTCAATATGAAAAACCTAATAATAATGCAAAAATTTCAAAATAAAAATAATTAAAAAAATTAACTCCCGGTGGTTGATTTTCCATTTCTGATCGTGAATGATTGTGAGGGTGGCTCTGAGAGATGGAGATAGATGAATTTCGCCGGAGATAGAGACGGATTTCGTCGGAGATGGGGACGGATGTTGCTGTAGAGAGTGAGAGATAGATATGAGACTGAGTTGTGATTTAGGGTTTTAGGTTAATAGTTACGATTACGGGATATATTAATATTCGTGTTTGGAATTTGAAAATAAAATATGCGTTGTGATACTAATGGCGCTTTGAAAATCGCATTACGATTTTGTATTATCGCAACGCGATAGTCAGAATCGCGTTGCGATTTTAGAAAATCGCAATACAATAGTCAAAATCGCGTTGCGAATCTGTAAACTGATTTGCAATACTGGAGATCGCGTTGCAATTTAGAGATCGCATTGCGATTTTGTTGGTCATTTTGACAAATCAAAAAAATTGATCAAATAGTATATTATAAGAATTTTCTGAGGTTATTTTCTCAAAAAATAAACATGTAATCTGTGTTGCTCTTACTGTTTGCTTTCTTCTGTTGAACTGTTTAAAAGCAACGGCATGCCCTTTCTTAAATCAAGTTGGCCATTTCCACCGTTGATGACACTTTGTGGTGCTCATTATGACTGTTTACAAAATCAGAATTTGATCTGGAATTGAAATGTGAAGGAGATGATGGTGTATATGAGGATAAATACTGAAATTGGCATGCAGAAAGGTTGGAACTTTCATGGGCTTAAATGGAGAGCTTTTAATTTTCAGCTGGACCATGAATCTGGGTTTGAACTTGTTTTGGAAGAACAAGTCGAGTAGCTGGCTTTTGTTGAATGTTGGACACATTATTTTGATGATGACTGCTTGTGGTCATACGGAAGTACATAAGTATTTGAACTGTTCGAGAGGTTGTTCTATTAATCCGGATAAAATATTAGTATAAAATTTTATTATAATACGACTTTTTTAATCTAATTTTATTCATTCCCAGTTACAAGATTCTATCTTGAAATCTGATGCCTTATCCGCTTGATCAACTTGGTTTCTGGGCCTTTCAAAGTTGGGTTGAAACTATGCAGCACCTTGAAACAAAATGGGGCCTGAGAATATCAGCCCTAAAAGTAAAAGAAATGAGAGAAAGAAAGCATACACCTTATCTTCTTCTGATATCTCTGTTTTTTGTGTATAAAGATCTGATTTTTTTTTCTGGGTGAAGAGAACCTTCAAAGGAAATGGCCTCGTCGAGTATTTTGACTGCTCAAATATCAAATCAACTTGGAACCTCTGATTGGAAAAAGCCCATCCCTTCACTCTCTCATGGTAACTCTCTCTCTCTCTCTTTGTTTGCTGAGAAAATACTCAAATAGAGGATCAGAATAGGCCATGATAAAAGTTTTGATTTTTATTTATGGGTTTGTTCTAGTGATTATTATTCATAAGAAATGAAGTATTAGCGTGGCTGAAATTGTTGTATTGAATCCCATTTTATTTATTTATTTTTAATAAAAAAGCGTTTGAACTTTCAGTTCCCCCATTTTAATTTTTATTGACAATAACCAAACAGAGGACTGTTTGATTTTCTACATGCTCTTCTTTGTACCCTTTTAGTGTGTATTTTACAGTTGTGTGTTTATCTTTATCAATTTTTCATGATTTATGATGTTAAATAGTGAATGCTAATATGCTCAGAAAATGAAAAAATAGTGAATTGTAATTTTTTCCACTGATGGCTTTCAGGTAACTTCAATTTGAATAAAAATCTAGCTGGTAAGCAGTTTTTATCAGTGTCGACTCCTACGAAATCCGGGAAGAGCTATAAATCTCTACGCGTGTACGGTTTGTTTGGAGGTAAAAAGGAAAATGGTGAGAAGGGTGATGAACCTTCCAAGGTAAGTTATGGTATCATTTGTTTGTTATCTGTACCACATGTTAATATTAACCAGTTTTTTACAAAATTGGCTGTATTGATATCTGACACCGACTAGCTTGCGGTTCGAATTACGAGGACGATAGCCTCTTTAGAATTGCTATAGTACAATCCATGCTTCATATTGTTGTGACTGTTTTATCATGATTAATGCCCCTTTGGTTAAACTAGTTGCTAATACTAGTTATGTTGGTCCCAACCTTGTCTATAATTGAAAATGATGCTTTAAATTATGCCTTAGGTGCTGTTATCCCTCAGTTTCAATGACCTTTTGAGTTTTTTTAAACTGTTTTTTTCGTATTTTGCTTATTACTGCTATTTATTTAATATAAACATGATGATAGCATATGATCTTGGTAGTTGGGTAGATCGATGTTGATACTGTATATGGTCTTTGTTTTGTGTATTTTATCCCTTATATTAACATAAGCTATATTTGCACTTCATGCTCATTGGATGCGTGTTTTATCCATTGTAAAGATAATGATTCATCGTGTTTTATCCAAAGAGGTTTTCTGCAAAATTAAGGGAGTCTAAGTCCATACGCCATGATTCATCATGTGTGTTTTATCTTTATAAAAACATGTTCATATGCATAGAGAGAGATTATGGCTCTAGTGTCTTATCATTAGATTTACACTGTTTCATAATCACAAATCCGTTTCGAAGTGCCAAAATTGATTGGCTGCTATACGAGCTTCATCATCATTCACAATTGCATTTGCACTTATAGTTAAAAGATTGCACCATGGTTGACTCTCTACCTCCTTGGAAACTAATGCGTCTTTCCTACTAATTTGATTTTAGGCAGGAATTCTTGGAAATATGCAAAACCTCTACGAGACAGTGAAGAAAGCACAAATGGTTGTCCAGGTTGAGGCTGTGCGAGTGCAGAAAGAACTCGCCGCGTAGGGATCTTTTCTTTTACCTGTTATTAATTTTACCATCTTAAACTTTTAATTTCTTTCTGTGTGTGATTTTTTCTTTTTTTTCCCATTCTGTAATGCAGAGCAGAGTTCGATGGCTACTGTGAAGGTGAGCTCATAAAGGTATATTATTTTACGGTTCTCTTTCTTTCGCGTTTGTTCTAGCAATGTTGTATACTCTGTTACTGATTTATATCTCAAGCCGGCTGTATGATGCATCTTTCTATTATTTTCTTTTCAGGCAACATTATCCGGAAATCAGCAACCTATACGCATAGAGATTACTGAGGCAGCAATGGAATTGGGTGCAGAGGTGAGTATGATTATTAAACTACTTTCCCACATGATTATTCGAGATTAATCCTCTATTATAGTCACGCTGTGGGTTCTTTTTGTTTTCAAAATCCTTCCAAGGAATGGTTCAGGGAAGAACTCCCACTTGTTTAGTGGGGTCCCAATACCGAGCCATCTCGGGCTGCAATTATAAGCCATTGAGAAGAATTTAAATGCCTTTTTGTGTGGTTTTGCTTGATTCGAATATCAAGTTGCTAACTTTTTATACTTGATTCTTGCAGAAGCTATCACTTTTAGTTAATGAAGCATACAAGGATGCACACCAAAAAAGTGTCCAGGTGATAATCTTGTAATCTTTCATAATTACTAGAGATGGAATCTTTTTCGAAATCATTTTGCCGATGATTTTCCGTTGTGCCATTTTCTTAGGCTATGAAGGAAAGAATGAGTGACCTTGCACAAAGCTTAGGAATGCCACAAGGTCTCAGTGAGGGATTAAAACAACAATAATCTCTCAAACATGCACCAGGATGGAGCTTGGTGAGGGATTGAAGCAACGATGATCTCTTGACCGGCTCTGGGGTTAGCTCCGATTTTGCATACCAACCAATGGTAGAAATGCTCGTTTTGTACTTTTTATTGTGAATTTGCATTGTGAGTTTCGTTTCCCTGATCGAACTCACACTCTGTTCTAAAACGCCTTGATGTTACATAAATTATCATCTCTATTTAGAGTTGAATTCATTGCCTTTCAATGTCATTTCCGATACCTATTTTCTAGGCAACCAAACATTGGAGAGAGCATTTGCCCATTGTTCATGGTGAATGTAGAACAAATTAAGAGCTTGCGCTCAAGATTGTCGAATGAATCCTAAACTCGAATAACACACTAATTAAATGGTAGCTGCAAAGAAATTCATATAGACTTGGGCAATTTTTCCCCTTTCAAGAAGGACCTGAAAAGAACGAAAGCTCTCCTGGGTTGAAACAATGGAACTTCATGGCCAGCTCCCCTGACTGTTGCAAAGGTTAGCCCTTCATAAACTTCAGTCCATCCTCCAACCTAAAAACCACATTTTTAGATAATCAAAATGGGAATTTTCTTGAAGAGAAAAAAAAAAGAATATTTTAGGATTTGAATACCTGATTTCCAGAATACCATGGATACCATGGAGTTTTGATGTGCAGATTGAGATGGCCAAGGGAAAACCTGGTGGCCGTCACTGGTACAATTGAATCTGTGTCTCCACTGCAACGACAGATTAATAATCATCAAATTGCAGTAAAAAAACTCAACCTTTAAAGCTCTAATTTCCCAACAGCAAACAAATGTCTATTGTCATTCATATGATTTGTGAATTGTTCTAAGAAAAACTCACCTGAAAACCCATATTCTTAGACCTGCTGAAATCAGCTCTTTGTATATTGGTAGCATAGAATTTTCAGAATCTTTCCAGTTTTTTATAAGAACATCACTGTCCAATGACAAAAAGGAACCATTTCAACAAAGAGCTGAAGTTAATGATAATCTAAAGTACTTGGAAAAATACCTGCAAGCAGTCCATTTGTAAGGAATTCCAGTAGTATTTGCATGCATAACCTTTTGCACGTCCGGCCGATTATAGTATCTCTCTGCATAGTTCTCAGTACACGGATCGTAACCAGAACCCCGTCGAAGCAAGAGAGTGTTTTTTAGCCTTATATGTTGCCGTGAACCGTTTGTCAACGCCAAGCAAGATGGAGTATAAATGCTGTACTGATCGATGTTGCCGAACTCGTGTTTAATGGCATAACTTACAGCATCATCACATCTTGCAGAGCTCTTCTCTTCTGTGAAATTGCAGTCTTTCATGATGGTTTTGTAAGTTTTATCTGAAATCATTGAATGGCTCCACCAGTATGTAACAGTTCCAATACTGTCAAAGTAATTATCTGTTACAGCATTTCCTACCTGTATATGATCAAACAATTTTTAAGCCTTTTGGTTGATTGTTTCTGGTAAGTTATGTATATGTCTGGTTTACATACCATAAATCCTCTTAGGTTGATGATTGAATTCGAGTGAGCTTTATTATAATCATGGATTTTCTTGGCTAACTGGGGAACATAATGCCCTACACAAACATTGATAGAAACTTGTTATAAGTTGAACAAAATTTCCGACCGAGAACGGCACTGGGATCCTTTTTTCTTTTACCTGCGTAACTTTCTCCGGCAATGTAAATTCCCGGTGCTTGTAGGTCGGAAATCTTGACATCCATCTGATGAGAAATATAAGAGCATCCTGAGCTGTGTCATGAACAAATTACTCTCATCAGGTTATAAGATCTCAAGAAAGCCGGTTCGTTGCAAAATCGAAACCGTTTAGTCACCTGTCCGATTGTCTCCGGAGTCTTTAAGATCGGAGCTCGTATTTGTGTAAGAGAATCCAACTCCAGCAGGTGATTCCAGGAACAAAATATTTGCTTCTGTAAACAACAAAAAACAAGAATTTTGTTTGATGAGCTAAATATAACTTGATACCTCTGCCATATTCAAACATAGATAGGAAATACAAGCATGAAACACACGTTGAACATGCGTCGAGTTCGGATACCGGATATTAAACGAGTAATAAACATTGGATAATTACCTGTATTCCACGAATATTTGTTAAGACAAAGGGATGAACCAGTCTTATTAATCCGAAATGGTCCGATTTCCTCTGATGCTCCATATGCAACAGATGAACAACCAGGTCCTGTGCACAGTGAGCCAAGGACATGTTCAAAATCATCAAATCACAGTGTTTATTACAACACAGAAAATAAAATCCTCAATTCCTAATTCACAAGAACTGATTACTTTTACTTTCACAATACACGGGAAAAACATGCAAACTTTGAGTACCGGGACAAGTTCTTGATGAACCAGGAAGAGATGTGACCTTTGAAATGAGAGGTTCCAATGGTTAAAAATGCATGATTTCAAGCAAGAAAGCAAAGCAACATCAAAGAGTGGTCCAGTTTCAGTCTCCACTATGTAAAACGTGACGCCTTCTATTCTTTGTCTAGCTAGCTACGCTAAACAACTTGCAGTAGGGTCAACCTTTGTGCATAGTGGAGCAGATACTGCAGAAACTTGGGCTCTCAGGGACCAATGAAATGGCCATTATTACCCCAGAATTTGTATCTAAATCACAGTTATTTCACCTTCCTTGAACTACATTCAAAATTCAAAGTCTTTGTTTACCCTAAACCAGTAGGTAAGATTGTGACTTCTATATAAATATATATCATGTATATAACATTTAATGGTGTCACTGGAGCAATCTGAGAAGGAACACCTACCTCCTTTGCTCTTAATAAAATATCTAAGCTGACAGTTTTCTTCTCAGATGTCAGCTTCTGTTATTAATGCCAGCTACGGACCCAATTTGTTATATTTTCATTAAACATCCCCAAAAAATTACAATTTGATCCACATATTTTTATACATTTAAAATATAGGTACTTAAATGACTAGATTAGAGTGTTTTAGGGTTAATTTAGAACCTGAGACATTGTTTTAAGGACTTATGGTGGACTTAACCCATTTAAAATACTAGTTGAATTCTTCCTCCATTTCAGGGTCAAACAGCTCGTGCAACCCCACATCATCATCATCACCATGTTCACAGAAATGCGCGTGCTTCAAAGAAACAAAAGGGAACTGTAGGAGAGTTGAGGCAAAGCTTTCTTCTTCTTTTTTCTCTACTTTCCATTGCTGCCTTCTCTCTCAAGTCAACACAAAGACAAAGAAGATAAAGAGAGGTGGAGGGTGCATTTTGCAGCAGAAGGCGTGGGAGCTTTGGACGGTTCCTAATGGGAAAAAGTTACTTCACTTTTGTGGTAGCTTTTTGGGGTTTCTCTTTTGCCTTGAGAAACAAGACTACCAGATACAAACAAATCGAATAAACAAAGTGACAAATGAAATTCTTCAGAGGGGAGAAACTTTTTTTGCTTGAGGGAATTATGATGGGGTTTTTTCAGTAAAAAAAAACAGGCATGAACGTCAGTTTTGTAGAAGGAATAAAGAACCCTAAAGAGGATACCGACAGAGAAAGAAGATGACGGGTCCCCACTAGGTCAAACAAATCGCAAATTATTCGGGTTTGATTCGATCAATATTTAATTCGAATCGATCTCAACAGTACTCGAGTTCGATTAGACTCGTTTACAGCACTATTCTCTAGTCTCTACCCAAATGTGGGATGTTTCAGTTTCAGTTTGCTAATTTGCTGTTACAGTGTTGAAGTTCATGGCATTGTGATTCAACAGATTTCCATTATCGTGCATGCAAGCTCGTACTACATGGTAAAACCAGAAACAGATGATACAGAAAAGAGACTGACCTCCATTGAGCCAAAGCACTAGAGGTTTCTTCTCAGCAACCGCAGTGGCTTCGATGAGCCAGTAAAAGAGAGCTCGGCCGTGTTTTTCGTCAACGGTAACGTAGCCCGAGAACTGTGAAAACGACACCGGCGGTTGCCCCGGAAGCGATGAGATTCGATCCATTTTTTGTTGTTTCCACACATCAGCAGCAGCAACAATGCCATCCACAACGTATGAAGCAAACAAGAAGATGAGGAAGCATTTACTTTCAAAGTACTTCACTGCTGCCATTTCGGAACCAATGATGCTCAAGGCTAATGCAATAGGTTTTATATATGGTGAATTAGCTGTGCATTACACCATGAGAGAGAAAGAAAGAGAGTCGAGGGGTCCATAACCCCTCATAAATGCATCACAAGACTCCATCTCTTGCCGATACTGTAATTTTGTAAATATATACTACTAGATAGTGTAAACCCCAATGGACAGGCATGCATTAACTTTCTAAATATGTAGTATCTTGAAGATATACTTAGCTAAGCAGTTTTGGCCTTTTGGGTTTTCTAAATATTAAGAAAAACGAAGATCTATTAAGTATTTAAATTTAAAAAATCAAAAAATTATTTAACTAATATTTAAACTAACAAAAAAACTAAATGCTTTTTACCAAAAAATTAAAGAAGTCACAACCCTCACACCCAACAAATGGTTATGTCTCTTATCAATCATATTTAAATACAATTATCTTATTATATAAAATAATATTAGTTTAAACATTATACCAAAAAATTTCATTTAATATTTGATAAAATATTTATTTTGATTTCACTTTTTCCTAATTCTTAATTTTTTATTATTTTATTAAGATTATAGTTTTCAGAATAAATCTCGTTTTTATTAACAATTAATGCTTATGTTGATGTGATACATTTATATGATTTAGAGTGATTATGTGACATTGTCTTTTTAAGTAAAAATCTAATACATATTATTAACGTGACGAAATAAACATATAAACACTTTACCACATGGCATGTGTCAATCATGTATGAGTCTACGAGTCTTCATTCTCTCTTTTTTTTGTAAATAAAAAAATTTAACTCTCAAAATTAATTCTACAACGATGCGCTTGAGAAAATTCCTCTATGTAAAGTGAAATCAAAAGTTAGATTCTCAATAATTAATTTTAAAATACTTCGGTTTTGTTTGTAATGATAAACTAGGTTAAAAAATCATGGCTTGAAGCACTCATCAATAGAGAATAAATATTTTTTAACATATGACATGAAAATAATTATAGAATGAAACGTTATGCGACTATTTAGAAAAAAATATTAAACACTATTCTTTAGTTTACTTTTTCGAATCTATGATTGCATAAAGCAACTCAACAAATATGCTAATTTAGCCTTTAGCCCCAAAATCCAAGCAGTAAAGCAAGGGAAGTATTGAATGTGACCCTTCAAGGGACTGTGGTAGCTACCTTTGAATGTGGTACAAATTCAACTGCAATGATTGGTCATATTGGAGGACTATGTATTGTACCCTAATACCACAAGCCTATAAGGAAAAGAAAGTCCCAAAGGAGCAGTCATTATCATCTCCTTCTTGCATGAAGTCTCTCGAATATGGTGTTTAAGAACATGCAAAGGCAAGTGGTTACACTTAAAACTAGACCATTAGGTTTGGATTGGAGGGGGTTGGTCCAACTTTCCAATTATTTGTTGCATCTTCCTTAACATCTCATCAAATTGTCAGTGCAAGTTGTTAAAACTTTTTTTTATATCATAATCCTATAACCCACCAAATTTTGCCTAATTATAGCCTAATTTATAGTTAGGGTTAAATGTTCTCGAATTGGGATGTTGAATGTTATTTTCGATTTGACGTGGAGGTTAACCTTTGTAGGTTAAAGGTCTTTAAATTTTGTTCCACTCAAGGACAAAACTAGGATCAAAAGATTGAAAGAGACAAAGATCTATTGAATATGTAAATTTAAAAATCTAGAAAAACAAATACCTTATTCGATTAATATTTAAACAAACAATGATCTAAAATATTATTCTACCATAAACATTTAGTGACGCATTCCCTCTCATCCATCAAATAACTCTGCCTCATTTGTTTAATGTATGTTTCATATTAAATTGGAGTTGATGTTAAAAAAAAAGTTTATCTGGGTAAAACCCAAAACCCCATGTGCATGCTTAACACATCTTCGTACTAACTCGATCCAATGTGGATCTCCATGGATCCCACAATTTCTATATATGTCCTACAACCTTCTCCTTAATTTTAACCCAAATACCATATAATAATATTAGATAATTAATTCAACACCCTTCAACTTGACATTCTAATATGATCCATGTCTTACATTACATACATATACAGTCAAAGTTTCATTAATAATACCAATTTAAAAGGGAAATTAAATTATTTTTCAAAGTTATACACTATCTCATTATGTTTTATCGAACTTAAATAATAATCCTGATGATAAAAGGTGAGATATTCTTTTTACATGATTTAAATACGAGTGATATTATTTATATAGTATGTGTGAGTTTATTTGTACAAAAAAGTAGAAGAAATATTTATATATGTACATATTAAGTAATAAAAACCGAGGGTCGAGATGAATTTAGATTGAAAGTTTTAAAAAATTAAAAATATTAAGAAAAAGAATGTGGGTAGACAGGGCCGGCCCAATACATGTGTCAGATGAGCGACGGCCCAGGACAGTATGTAGGGGCGATGGCCCAGGGCAGCATGTAGGGGCATAAGTAATCTATGGGCTTTTGAAAGGCTGTTTCCTGTTTTACAAAATATGGTTTATCTTTTGTCTACATGCAACAGGAAAGCGAGGAATCTTGTGGTATAGAAGTAGGCAAAGTATTTAGATGATTAAGGCTCCACGTTCACGAAATATCCAATGTTTTTGTCAACATATATCTCTAACATTGCTTTCAAGCCTTACGTACAATATTTACCAATTTTAATATTTTTAGCTTTTAGCTCATATTATTAATAGATGTGGGATCCCCAGGTTCATTCACCAATAAATTTGATTTTATGTCACACGGAAAAATTGTCCAATAAAATATTAGCGCACCATTAGTAAAATAAACAACTAACATAAAAAAACTCAAATTTTAGAATGGACACGCGCTCATCTTAAGGAAACCTTGCATCCGTCATTACTTACTAAAGTTGTTGATGATCAGTACGTCTTCTGAAAATTGTCACATTCTCCAGATATCTTCTGACATGTATTATAACATTAACACTAGATAAAAGAATAATTTACTCAACACTCATATATGATAAGATTTTTTTCGCCGTATTAGCTAACCAATTTTACGCACTACAAGCACATCAAAATCCCACTCGATTCGGTGCTAGCAATGGTAAAAAGAAAAACACGTCTAAGCATCGAAAGTCAATTTTCATAAAGTCTAGATTATCGTAAAATAATAGAGGTTTTTGCTTTAAAAAATGCACGAATGCATTGTTTTAGGTGATATTTGTAGGCTTGTAGGTTTTGGTTTGTATTAGTATTGATATTGTTTGACTATAATTTCTATTACATTTTTGTTTTAAAAAAATTATTTATGTTTTATCTATTATACGGTACAAGTATAAGGGCATAAAATTATTATCTCGCACGGGGCATTAAAACTCATTGGACCGGCCCTGTGGATACATGAAGTACACACACAGTCTCCGACTATAAGATGTTTTGTTTAGTTTTTCGACTATTAAAAGTTACAAAATGATAATATGGTTATTTATATGTTTCAAACTCTTATTTTCTCGTTAAAAATTTGACGTAATATGAGTTAGTCGTTAACTTGTTGATTAGAATATAATAAAATCATATTTTAATAATATCTACTTACACTGCCTTTGCCTTCAAACACTGACTCGATAGCAAAAATGTAAACGGAGATTTGTCCATACATGTAATCTAAAATTTAATACCACAAATACTTAAACTAATATAAGCTAAAACTATACTTCTGGAGAGAGTTGAATCATAGTATTCCCTTGATAATTTCGTCCCCAAATAAAACCACAATGTTTTTGGTTGGCTTCTGTTTAAGAAGAAAGTTTGCATATTGAAGAAACACTAGTGTTTGTTGACGGTGATGTGATTTTTAAGCCTCCTTTTTGGGGTTAGCTAATGATTAGGTTGAAGTTAGTGAAGCATTTGGTGAAAATCAGCTCTCTCTGCTTTGAACCCACAAATGCAATAAATGAAACGAATTGGAAAATGACAACCCATCACTTCTCTCATTTGGCACAGACAGCTTTTGGTCTGTTCAATAGAGATGTGGCAAATGAATGGCATGAGCAAGTGGATGGGTAAGTGCATTTATGGCCAAGGAGAAATTGTTATTATGGGTCCTGGGAAATTGTAATTTTAAAAGGACCCGTTGAACAATTTTCCACCCAGGCCCAATTCCATGGTTTCTGATGTATTAGTACCCGTTGACATCCATAGGGCCGCTTAGAGAAACGCTTAGTGAATCAGTCGCTGCAAGTCTTGAAGGAAAATAACCAATATTATCCATATAATCTTCAAATAACAGCCACCAAAACACACTCGTGCAAGTCTTATCACTAATCACTCAATATTATCCTGAAATAATGATATATAAATAGTCTTTAGATAATACGAATCAAACATATAACGATGAACAGACGTCAAACAAGTCTTATTACTAAAATAAAATCAAATATTTGTTTAAATATTATTTCTTTACGTTATCAAAAATAATTTTAAAACATGACAAAATGTGTAATTAAGCATATATAATATATTGACATATTGTTGATACGTACGCATGTTTCTATTGTGCCAATTTTGTGAAATTATATATGGTAAAAGGTTTAAATATGTTAATGGTCCTTCTTTTATTTCAAAATTTATAATATCCTTATATATATTATTTTTATGAAATAAAGTCCTTCCACATTTTCAATTAAAAATATGAATCTCTTTCTTAACTTATGTTTAAACTGATATCAATTCAATTAAAAATTATATTTTAAAAGATAATTAATTTTATCATAAAAATATTTTTATTTTTATATAAATTTTGAATAAAACAATTACAAAATATTGTTTGAGAAACAAACACAAGATCGATAGTTTTACATAAAATTTAAATGCCGTTTTTCTTGTAATCATTGGGAGGTCAGGACTTGTTGGTAAAATATAGGGAGATTGGCTGACGACTAGTGACTGAAAGTGACAATGACGACAACACGAAAGAGGACTTAGGGTTAGAAAAGAAGGATTTTTAAGAGAAAAATATATTTTAGATTCTTTTTATGAGGAGGGTGAAAAATATAAAATTTTGAAAGTTCAAGAGTTATTTTTAAAATTAACTTTTTAATCATGTAGCGTTATTGAATTAACGGAAGTTTACGATCTAATGATCAAAATATAATAAATTGATAACATAAAGACATAATAAAATTAACTCTCAATGTTTATATAAATGATCATTTTACCTATATTTTTTTTTGAAATATTTTAGTTCTCAATATTTCAATTTTTGGTCAATGAAAACTAGTAGTTGGCTAGTGAGCAACATGTGTTACCGACGTGACACGTATCATGTATTCACTTTGATAACATGACACGCGTACATCAATATTTACCTACAGTACTAGTTGCATGAAAAGGTTTTTTTAATATTTTTATTTTATTTTTAAAATAAAATAAATAAATTTACATACCAAACCAACGATAGAAAATGAATGCAATGACAATAACAATAAAGAGACATATAAAGAATTTAAAGAATAAGAGAGGAATTTTGAGAGAAAAAATAAATAAAATTTTAATGGGTGACAATGAATTTTTGAAAGTTTAGTCATCAAAATTAAAATTTAACAAATTTTTAATATGTTACGTCAATAATTTTACGGAGATTAACGTCCATAATGTATAACTTGAAAACATAAGTGACCAAAACCAAACATTTTCTAAATATGTTACTAAAATAGAATATATCTAAAACACAAGGAACCATCTATGTCGTTTACCCATAAACAAAAGGTTAATCTTCACTCATCTCTCTCTTCCTGTCATTGGTTCTTTGCGTCTCTTTCTAAATGATAGAAACAGTAATGTAGAGAGTGATATTCAATTCTCATCGATCGAACCCCTTTTCTTTGATTTCTCTTCAGCTCTCGTCGAGTTTTCTCCCTCACTTTCTCTCATTTTCTCCGGTGAAAGGAAGGAAGAAAGAAAGTATGGAATCGCCTGCTTATTTTATCTCAAGAGAGTGAGTGGAAACGACACAGTTCCAGCACCAAATACTGCAAAAGATTTTCTTTTGAGGTAATCATGGCTCTATTTATTTTTCCACTATGCAGAGTGGAATCTCTGTTATTCGAGGCTAAATTTGAATGCATATACAACTCGATACCATTTTTTGAACTGTAAAGCTTGAACCTTTAACTTCTGCTTCTTAAAAAGTGGTCTCATTTTTTTTTAACTTTGGTTTGGGTATTGGTTTTTAGGGTTTTTTCTTGCTCATTCTTGAAGATTTTGGGTATTGGTTTTGGATGGAAATGAGAAATGGCTGTGTGGGAGTTTTAGGATTTGGGTGAAGCTTAGAGTGGTAGAGTTGTAAATTTAAGGAAGTTTTGTGGGGTGGGTAGCTGGGATCTGTTTTGGGAGCTTTGGAGAAGATTAGTGCATGTGTGTGCTGTAAGTACAAAATATCTATGTAATTCTTTGGTGTTAAAAGGGTTTTCAAATTGCTTTAAGCTTTGTGTGTATTAGGAATATGATGATTGTACTGGATTTCATTAATGAATTTTGAGGATTAGATAGGCAAAATTTGAGGGATTGGAATAAACCAGGAGCTAGTAAAGTGGGAGTGGGATCGGAATATGTCCGATGGTCCGAGGTTGAGGTCGATGAATGTGGCCGATTCCGAGTCAAGGCCCGTACTGGGACCTGCAGGAAACATGGCACCTGGTTCATTGGGTGCAAGAAAACCAGTTTCAAAGCCTATGAGAAAGGTTGAGAAGTCTCTGGTCGAGGTTGAGGTCTCCGTAGCAGAGGAGAAAACAGTCCTTCCATCATCTACTGTTAGTTCACTTTCAAAGACGCATTCTGCTAGCGTCTCTTCTATGCTTCGATGGCACGAGCAGTTGTTACATTCTAATTTATCATTAGATGCTTCGTGTTCATCTGATGCTTCCACTGATTCCTTTCATAGTAGAGCATCCACTGGCAGGTTAATCCGGTCATATAGTGTAGGGAGTAGGAGGAAGCAGTACGTATCGAAGCCGAGAAGTGTTGTTTCCGATGGTGGTTTGGATTCACCACCCGGTAATCCACACCAGAAGAAGAGATGTGCTTGGGTGACACCAAATACAGGTGTGTGAACATTTTCTTCATAAGTCTGCTTTCAACTGTATTATTAGTCACAGAACCTTGCTCTAAGCATTGATTTTGAGCAGATCCGATCCGAGTTATGCCGACTTAGTTTTGTTTTTGGGATCAGATCCGAGTTATGCTGCCTTCCATGATGAAGAGTGGGGAGTCCCTGTACATGATGACAAGTATGTTATCGTGATATTGGCTGTATCCGGTTACCGATTAAACTAGCTAGCTCTCCGATAACGTTCACTCGAATAGTAGTTTAGTTGATGCTATTTTGCACATGCAGGAAATTGTTCGAGCTGCTTGTACTTTCGGGTGCATTGTCTGAACATACATGGCCTGCTATCCTAAGCAAACGACATATATTTAGGTACCGTTCCCACAGAATCTCCGTCTTACTTCCGTCGGATATGCCTCCTTATTTCCGAATTATGCAGGGAGGTTTTTATGAAATTTGATCCTGTTGCTTTATCAAAGCTAAATGAGAAGAAATTAATAGCACCTGGTAGCTTGGCAAGTTCCTTGTTATCAGAACTAAAGCTGCGGGCTATCATCGAGAATGCACGCCAAATATCCAAGGTAGTTCCTTGTTATCCAAGTCATTCATATGATTATCATTTGAAGCTAATTTTTTGCAGGTTTATGCGACTCCAGGTTATAAACGAGTTCGGGTCATTCGATGAGTATATTTGGAGTTTCGTGAACCACAAGCCCATAGTTAGCAGATTCCGATATCCTCGCCACATTCCAGTTAAAACTCCGAAAGCAGATGTCATAAGCAAAGATCTGGTAAGAAGGGGTTTCCGAAGCGTTGGGCCGACGGTAATCTACTCGTTCATGCAAGTGGCCGGAATGACAAACGACCATCTCACAAGTTGTTTCAGATTCCAGGAGTGTATAACAGCAGCAGAAGGAAAAAAAGAGAATGTGATTGAAGATACGCCCGAAGAGAAACAAACCGATAATGTGATTGGATCGGAATTATCGATAGCTATGGATGAATTGAGTTTCTCTACAGAATGATGTTGGGTGGTACCCGATGGCAGATCTTTGATATATGCTAATCTTTACTATTTAGGTAGTAATGAAGGCGTGTATAAAAATTTCCATGAATACTCATGCATCATGAATTCTTCTACATTGTAGATTCCTAAAGAGCAAATTAAAATTTAAGATACGGAGATCGCGAGAATGGGTTGCCATAACCTTGTTCCACACGGCAACGTACGTAGGATTTTATATTAAGGTAAGATAAAGAAAATCTTGTAAAATTTTGGATAAAGTACACAAATGGTCCTCCTATTATAGGGTATTATTTTGTTAAGTCTTCTTACTATTAAAAGTTACAAAATGGTCATTCGACTAAAAGACATTTTTAATTGTCCTTTGACTATTAAAATTTATAAAATGATCATCCGACCATTTATATGTTTTAAACTCGTCATTTTTTGTTAAAAATTGATGGCTTTTTGAGTTGGACATTAACATGCTGATTGAGATATAATAAAATTCAACCCAAAATTGTTTTAGGTGTATTTTGTGGATCGAATTTCCATTTGCATTATATCGTCGAGTAGGTGCTTGAAACATTATACTGTCGAGCCAGTGCTTGAAAGCAACGATGGTGCCAGTAAACATCATTAAACTATAATTTTATCATATCTCAGTCAGTAGGTTAACATATAGCTCAAACAGTCATAAATTTTCTAACAGAAAATGACGAGTTTGGAACATATAAACAGTTAGATGATTATTTTGTAACTTTTAATAGTCGATGAACTCAACAAAACAATTCTCTATAGTCGGGATCATTTTGTAACTTTTAATAGTCAAAAGACTCAACAAAGCAATGTCCTAAAATTGATGAACTGTTTGTGTACTTTATCTTAAAAATTTAAGGAGCGCGAAAACATATTTTCAATAGAAAATATAAAGAAAATATCTAAAATATATATGATTTTGAAATTTTCAAGAGCAACTACTTCTCCATCTACCTCCTTCTAAGTTCGTCCTTATCAAACAAATTGATGAAGTATGAAAAAAATTAATATATATATATATATATATATATAATATTAGTTAACATTTAATGATTTGACTTAATAGATATTAGATTTAGATTTCATGTGTTATTATGATTTGGTTATATGGTAAAGAACATCTTATTAGTTAAAAAAAACTCCTCAAAAATCTTCATTTGATCTTATTCTACGTACAGAAATGAGATAAAAAAAAACTATTTTTAAGATCAGATTTATAAATCTGTGAAGATGGATTATATCCTACCCAAAATCATCTTAGTCGATTGAAAAAAAATCAAAATTCTAATAAATTTCATTTGATTTGTTTCCATTTTTGAGGTATATTACAATTCAATCATATTTCCCGAAACGTGGCTCGTGAATGAGAAGCAACAATGATGTTTCAGAGCCAACTCAGTACCCATGGACAATAACACATATCGAGCAGTCAATTGGTAGCTTATCTCCGCAATAAGATAAGGTGTTAATTCAGCCAGCATGTTGATGTTGGTCAACTTTCCTTTCAAACATTCAACTTGTCTCACAAAATCTTGTAATGATTTACTCCATCAAATCTTAGCCTCACAAATATTGTTTTTTAAAAGCATCCCATTTCAACGAAAACTTATTCCCAGAATTCAAGTTCATCAAGCAACATATCTGGAACGTGTCATCATGAAAACAACAAACCCACTGCTTTTGTTATGTCTACTTCTTGCTGATAACGACATAGACCAACCAAATACTGACGAGTAAATTTGTCTGTAATCACTCGGGATTCAATCATTAAGCCACAACTGTGTTGATAACAACAATTTTATCTCGTGAAAAAACGATACTGATTGAGTGTTTGAAAGGACAGAGAGTGAATAATCACGTGGTAGAAGAAAAAGGGTCAGCCAATTATAGACGTTTTATACTTGATTGAGTGTATTTATAATATAGTATTTAGTATATTTGTGTGAGTTATAGATCCATCTTGTAGATAAACAAATAAGATGTTTTAAATTTTGATACGTCGTACGTGAGTCTGTAAGAGATTTTATTTATACATTATAGTCGACTAAAAATCTATATTTGGGGGATGTAAGTTAGTTGGGGCCATGGATGGTTGAAAGGTTTCTGGAGGTCATCTCCGGGATATAAAAGACTGTTGCAGTGGTGATGGGTTTTCTTTATCTTCTTCGATTAATACCTGAATGTTCATCACATGAAAAGTCTTGTTCCCCCATGCGGATAACGTACACAAACGTGCTAGTCAGGGTTTAAAAAAAGTCCGCGACCGCGATTTCTTCCGCGATATAGTGGTTTCGTCGCTGTCCGAGTTACCCGCAACGGACGCAATAGCGTCCGCGACGACCGTAATAGTGCCTATGACGGCCGCAATCACGATAAATCCGAAATAACCGAAAACGCGACCGCGACTGCGATTTGAAACCCTGGCGCTAGTTCTCACAATATCCTTACCTGATATCAGAAACTACTAACTTCATGCACATGGATTATGTTAAGGTTTGGAATGATTGAACATGAATTCATTGTCTGTGGGAAAACGATATCTGGCCGACATGCTCCCGATGCTAAGGTTGAGTTGTTTGGCGGACATTTATACAACGTTGTTTGTTGGAAAATATGAATCCGTTGTTTGTTGGAAAATATGAATCCTACAAAAACAAATGACTAGAAAAATAATTTCAAAGGAATCAAAATCAAATTTAATTATGTCATAGTAATTTTTTTTTCATAAAAGTAAATATGTTTCGATTAATGTATCACATAATACACTTAAGTATTGAAATTAAAATCAGTGTATATTACTTCTCGAAAAGATGGATTGAGATCAATTTTTTTATATATTTTAGTCTGACGATCAGAAAATAATTCTTCAAAATAATTTTAAAAAAAGTTTTTACGTAAGGTATAAGAAAAAATAAAAAATATATACTACTTTGATAATTATCTCTCTTAGAAATAAAAATTAACTTCTATTTATAACCTTAAATTAGGGATAAAATTATAAATACTAAACATATTCCCTATTTACTGGATATCATCTCACCATAATATTTAGAGGAGATGGTAAGGGTTTCTTTGAGTTTAACCACATATGGACGAGGTATTGAGACGTGTTCTTATTTTTTGAAAATTTTATATAATTTAGATATTCATTTTTATTATTTTTAATTATTTAATTTTGTACATTTTTTATATACTTTTTAAATGTTTATATCTCTCGACATAAAATGTCAAGTTTGTTAGAATGGAGAATGGAGCAGTTTTAGATCCTAATTATGAGTACACTCAGCAAGAAACCTTATTAAGGGTTAAATTAAGCACCCAATTGATAGCTTATCTTTGCAATAATTAAGATACTAATCAACACTAAGTGTTGGGTTAAGTTTCCCTACATATGTATTCCACCTGTCTGTCACGAGATTTTTCTCCATGTACCTTTCAATGCTGTCAACTAATTCACTCCTACTATCTCCACGTAATCACAGATGTTTCCCAGGAGATTTCATAATCTGTTTACTTCATCAAATCTCAGCCTCAGAAATAATGTTTTTAAATCATTGAGTTTCAAATACAGAATTCAAGCTCATCAAGAAACATCTGAACGGGTCATCATGACGAGATTTCAGTACAGCAAATCCAATGCTTTTGTTATCTGCTTCATGCTGATGAAGACTGTGACCTATCAAGTACTAACAAGTATTCTTGCACCAGAGATGGGTTTTTTAACGGTGTTGTTGGGTCATTGCATCATATGATTTCGTGTGCATGTTTGGTTTTCTTTTTCCTCTTTAATTCCTGGATATTCATCCAATGAAAAGTCTTATTCTCCACGCAAATAACGTGCTTGAACATGTTAATTAATTCTCACAACAATCATACATGCTATTACTAATTACTACCAACTCTCCATGCAAACGTTTTTACTTCAAATATATATACATACTATACGTGTCAAAGATTCGAACCCAAACTAAGGTGAGTGACGGTGACAATGTGTGCGTGTGAGGGACATGTCTTCCTTTATTCGGTTAAATAGGGAGGAAAAAAACACTATATAAACATTTCACTTAATCTTTTTCCTTTCCAGCGTGAGATTTCCACCTTTGCATTACTAACCGTTTGAGAGGGTTCAGCTATAAATAATAATAAAATGCGAGTCAAGGTATAATTGTTATACTATCGATTTAAAATTAAAATATTATGAGATTAATTAGAGTCTAATTTTATTAATTTTAAATTTAATAATGACTTAAAAAGTATTTAAATAAAAGAATGTATAGATTAATTTGTCTAGTTTCAAATTAACAGAGATCCAAGAAATATTCAAATCAAAAACTTAATTCTCTTTGTATTAAAACTGAGGGTCTAATAACAGTCGACCTTGTTTTTAGAATTATAAAGAAATAGAACGTTTGTTTGATGATCAGTTCACGAACAATTTAATTTATAATATTTTTTAATTAAATAAGTAAATATAAATAAGATTTTGGACATTTGTTTATTATGTAAACCAAACATAAATAAGATATCATTTACACTTATAAGCAATTCATTTATGTTTGTTTAAAATTTATTTATTATCTCTAAATTCATACCTATATATCACTATGTTTACTTCATGAATATATTATATTAAATATTAAAGAATATAATATATACCTAGGAAGTGTTTATATAATGTCCAAAGTTCATGTCACATCCAAGCCTGCCATACATTTCGTCGTGGAGGAAAGTTTATATGTTAATTAATTGAAATTAATTAAAAAACCGAATCGTTTACGTTGAATTATCCTCTCCTTTTTTAAAAAGATAAAAGAAAAAAAACATTTTGTGATTTAAAGTCCAATATGTCGTCCAACGGCGCATGCAAGATAGGCATGCCTAATTACGTATGCAAAACACAAGTAAACAAATAAGGACTTGGATAAGAATTTCCCTAATTTTTTATTATAAAAAGTTGTTAGTGCAGTGAGTTGTTGCTCACACCAAATATTTATATCTATTTTGTATTCGTGGGAGTTGGATATTATAGTGCGTAACTTTATTTTTTAGTTAATTGTACATGAGGTTTCTAAATTATAACTTTAATTTTAAATTAATTTTTAAAATATTTTATATAAATCTTCAATATTATGATTTCATTTTAAGTTATTCTCTAAATCTTAGAATATTCTACATTAATCATCAACTTATCAGTATCATTTTGTTTTGATCATTTCGTTACATGGCATTAATTTTACCCTTTTATATTAAATATTCGTTCATTTAAATTATTTTTTTAATTTTTATATGGTATAAATAAAGCTTACCTTTATATATATATATATATATATATATCAAAATTCATTATATAATATTATGAGAAAAAATTAGTTTATTTGGATCAATAAGGAAATTATTTTCTAAAATTTAGTGTTTGCTAACATCTTAGATCCAATATTTTTTCATACATACATATATATATATAATCTATGGGCTCTTTGAGAGTGGGTAGAGATAAAAACAGAGAAGCAAATGGTTAGTTTGTAGGTTGGTTTAGAAAAGCTGTGGACGGACGAACTCAGTTGCACACACATTTATTTATCTGTTCTCTGATTCTTCTTCCCGAGAGCGTTATTCCATTTTTCATTTCGTATGCTGACAGTTGCAGTTATTGGATAACACATCTCACGTCATCTTCTTCCTCTTGCCTTAATTTCTGCACTAAATTCATTACACCCTTACATCTTTGTTCTTGCACATATATACCTATCTTTTTTCTTTTTACTTTTTAAAGATTTTTCAGATTGAATGATTATTTAATAAATGATGGGTTTTATTCATAAATGATTTTAATTTATTATAATAATTTAGAATTTAAAAAAAACACGTTGCAACGAGCTAAAACCATTTATAAAAAATCAAGTAATAGTAGAAAAAATAAAACAGAAGAACAAGTGTATAGCGTGTCGGACATGAAGCTTATGAATCAGAACCTGACCCAGAAACAACCGGTTCTTCTTTCCTTGTCTTTCTCGTTTTGTCCTAATCCCCGGGTTTTTTTTTTGGATTAGTGTACGATTATCAATTTTTGTTTTGGTGAGACTCTAAAACCTTGAACCTAAAGAAATATAAAAAAAAAAATAATTTGATTAACTGATCAAATACATTTATTTTTATTATTATACAATTTGAAAAAATGGTTTTTGAAAACTTGTAATAAGGGTATTAATTATTTTTTAAGTTATAATTTTAGGGTTATATCACTAATTATATTATATATTATAACTTAGTTTGGATTAGTTTAATTATAATGAAAGTTGGACAAAAGAAAATTAGATGAAGGTGGAAGTGGAAGTGGAAGTGGAAGTGGGAGGCGGCGTGCCGCCAAAAACGAGTTTTGGCTTTGGCTGCTGCATTTGACTAATGATGTGTCATGTCATGCATGCACCCATTTGTTTTCTGAAAGAGTGATTTTTAATTTTAACCCAAATACTGATAAAATTAAGTGAACCTATTTAATCAATTTTATTAGTGTAAATTACTTATTTAATCATCTATTTGTTTTTATGTTTTATTTTGATCATCAAACAATTTAAAATTATACTTAACATTCTGTTTCATTTATGTTATTATGTCATTAAATTTGACCTTTAACTCAAGGGAGTTGATGGTGTAATATAATATAATAATAGTTTTAATCCTCAAATTTTGCGCATTTTATAAAACTGGTCTTAATTTGAAATAATTCAATGAAATCCTTAATATTTGAAAATCTTTCAATTTGTTCCAACATAAAATCCTAAAATCTCCTAAATCTCAGTCGTCGTTGCTCACTTTCTCAACCGATGTCGTTGCCTTTTTGCGCTGGTCGACCCCTTACAGCGACGTTCAGTCCTTACGGCCACCAGACTCAATCACATCCTTCGTGAAAACTAGGTTTCCGACGAATGACTGAAATCTAGGACTAAGGGACGTCAGAGGACTGTGAGGGTGAAAAATGTAGAGAAAGAAAATTGATGGGAACGACGAAAATACAGTGTCAGAAGGTGTGTAGTTTGTGAATGAGCAACGATGAAGATGAATGAGTGGAGATGTTACGATAGCATAATTAAGAAAAGTTGCGACGAGAGTCTAGGGAAGTCATTCGATGAATGGCGACATTGTTTTGACTTATGATATCAAAAAGGGGTAGTTGTGAAATTTTGGATGGAAGATAACTCAAGAAGAGATCGAGCGGTAAATGAAGAATGAACGACACTGTCAAGACAGCGGTGGGAGTTATGAAGAATGTGAGATGGTTGGTAAAGATGGAATTGGTATAAATAATGATATTTACACAATAAGTACCTAAATTTTAATAATTTTGAAATCAAGACACTAAATTATTATTAAGTTTATAAAATATTTCAAACTAAAATGAAAACTAAATTGATAGAATTTTATAAATATTGGATATTTTTAAATTAAGATAAATTTAATAGAATCTGCATGTTTTTGAAACTAAAATTATTATCATACCAATACAATATCATCAATTCAGTTAAGTCAATAGTCAAACCTAACATTAGGTGACAAAATCAAAAATAAAATGTTACGTTCGATATGATTTTAAAAGAAAACATAATTAAGTGACCAAACCAGAAACACAAAAAAAAGTAGGTGAATACATAAATAAGTTACCCTTTTTAAGTAGACAAGTCAATTAATTGGATTTAAATCTCTTGGTATAAATATTGATACAATGTATGAGAGAAAGTGATTAAATGTTTAATATCCCGATATAATAGTATAGAAATAGCTGGATAATATATACATTTTATCAATTTATTAAAAAAACTAGACAAGTCAATTTAGGGAGTTAATTGTATAATACATTCTCAAACTATGATCATTTTTTAAATTGGTCCCTAAACTTTTAAATATTTAAATTTTATCCCTAAATTACAATTATCATTCTAAATTTGTCCCGAAACTTTTGAACATTTTATTTTCATCCTCAAACTATATTCTTCATTCTAAATTAATCCTCAAGCTTTTCAACATTTCAATTTCATCCCAGATTATATTTATATACTAACCGTATTCCATTTTAATAAAATCGTTAGGCCAAGCTATATTATTATATGTTTGAAAAAAAGTAACGTTTAAGTTAAAATATGGTTAAAACTAATTACATATTTGGATGAATTTGGGGATAAAATTGAAAGATTTAAAAGTTTAGGGGCCTATTTAGAATGCATATTGTAGTTTGAGGATGAAATTGGAATGTTCAAAAGTTCAAGAACTAATCTAGAATGAGTATCATAGTTTGAGGATGAAATTAGAATATTCAAAAGTTTAGGAACTAATTTTAAATAGAGATCATAGTTTGAGGACATATTATGAATCAACTTCAATTTAGGTTAAAAGTTTGATTAAATTTAAATCAATTTAAATTGATTAATTTAAATTAGGTTCGATTAAGTCGATTCAATAAAAGAAAACCGATCGGGTTTTCCTACTTATTATTTAATGAGATAAACATTAACAGCTAAGAATGATAAAAACGAAAACGTAATGATACTTATCTGAAAAAGACAACACTTAATGATATGTTTTGTAAGATATAAATAGATAATATTTACACCTAAGAATGATGAAAACAAAAGGTAAATATATCTTCATTAGTGAGGGATTCGATTATACCGCAAATTTACTTGATAATAAACTAAAAATTATTATATTAAAATATTTTGGTTTAAGATTTATACAAATTTTAAAGAAAATTATTAAAATTATAAAAAATGTTAAAAATAATATATTTTAAAAAAATCAGTTGATAATATTGTAATGTGATACTAACTAATGTAAAAAAAAATAAGTTAATATCGATCAAAAGAATGAACTGATAAAATTTTCAAAGTATAAAAATTTAGTTAAATATAAAAAATTAAAGATTTAATTAATTTGTTTTAAATAAATCCAAAAGGTTTAATATTCTTAAATTAATTTATTTAGTATATTAATAATGTATGATTATATGTACCTTGATTAAATAATTACAAGATAAATTTAATTTTAAAATTTATAAAAAAATATCTAATAAAATAATAGTTTAAATGTTTAACAGGAAGTGGTATAAATAGGGCACTGAGACAAGCAAAAATGAACTGCAAATCCTCTTGATATTTTAGAAATAGAGAGAACAAAAAGCTGCTAGGGAATGCAGAGAGATGAAAAGGGAATCGTTGAGAAGGCCTGAACTGTGCCGGCACGGTAAACGCTCCGTCCGCCGCCGCGACTGCCACCGTAAACACGTCGAAGACGGGTGAATATTGTGTACTCTCTCTCTAAAACCCCCCCCCCCACATCTCTGCTTCTAATCGCCCTCTTTCTTTTCGTTATCTAAAAAAAAGCTTTATTTTTATTGTTTTTCTGGGCTGTATTTCTCAACAAAAATGGCCGGAAAAGATATTAAAAGTGATAATCCCTTTCTTCTTCACGGAAAATACGAGCTTGGTCGTATGTTGGGTCATGGAACTTTCGCGAAAGTATACCATGCCCGGAACATCCAAACGGGGAAGAGCGTCGCCATGAAAGTCGTCGGCAAAGAAAAGGTTATCAAAGCCGGGATGATGGAGCAGATAAAGCGAGAAATCTCCGTCATGAAGATGGTGAAGCACCCCAACATAGTCGAATTACACGAAGTGATGGCGAGCAAAACCAAGATTTACTTCGCCATGGAACTCGTCCGCGGCGGAGAACTCTTCACGAAAGTCGCCAAGGGCCGTCTCGAGGAAGAAACGGCAAGAGTTTACTTCCAACAGTTGATTTCCGCCGTCGATTTCTGTCACAGTCGTGGCGTTTACCACCGCGACTTGAAGCCCGAGAATCTGCTGTTGGACGAAGATGGCAACTTGAAAGTTACGGATTTTGGTCTCAGCGCTTTCACCGAACACTTGAAACAAGATGGATTGCTACACACGAGTTGTGGAACGCCGGCTTATGTCGCCCCTGATGTTATCGGGAAGAAAGGATACGACGGTTCTAAAGCAGACACCTGGTCTTGCGGCGTTATCCTTTATGTTCTTATTGCCGGATTCTTACCGTTTCAAGACGACAACTTGATCGCCGTTTACAGGAAGATTTACAGAGGAGATTTCAAGTGTCCGCCATGGTTTTCACCTGAAGCTCGTAGGTTAATCACTAATCTTTTAGACCCGAATCCGAAAACCCGAATCACCATCTCGAAGATCATGGACTCGTCCTGGTTCAAAAAAACAACACCCAAAATGGTTAAATCCAAGGAAGAGTTCGAATTCGAATGTTTCAACGGTGACAAATCATCGAAGCCGGAAACTTTGAACGCCTTCCATATAATTTCTCTGTCGGAGGGATTCGATTTGTCGCCGTTGTTCGAGAAGAACAAGAGAGAAGAGAAACGAGAGCTGAGATTCGCGACGACTAAGTCGGCGAGCAGTGTGATATCGAGACTTGAAGAGGTGGCCAAGTCGGTGAAGTTCAGCGTCAAGACGAGCGAGTCGAGAGTGAGGTTGCAGGGTCGGGAATGTGGGAGGAAAGGGAAATTGGCGGTGGCCGCCGATATATTCGCGGTGACGCCGTCGCTGTTGGTGGTGGAAGTAAAGAAAGACAACGGCGATACGCTCGAGTACAACCAGTTCTGCAGTAAAGAGCTCCGACCGGCGCTTAAAGACATCGTCTGGACCTCGGCCGCCGAGAACTCGACATTTGTTTGATTTGTGTAATGATGTTTGTTCTTGTTTGAGTAAAGATTGTTTTTTTATGAGAAACAAAGGTTGTTCTGTATATGCTTGATGTGTTATCAATTGTAGTAACGGTTTTAGGTCTAATTTCGGTAATGGCCCCTCTCCTACCTCGGATGTGGAATTTAATCCCATACTTCAATTCGATTCTTTATTACACTTCATTCTAAAATTGAATAAATTAATCATTCTAAAAATTAATATTACAATTTAGTATCTTTTAATTTTAAAAATTATAATTAAGGATAATTAAGTGTAACATTAACATTTCCATCAGTTTTATATAATTTTAATTAATATTAATACTTAACATTTATATATTATATCAATTTTAATTTAATTCTAAAAAATTAACAAATCAAACCTCAACGTCTGTAAAAAGTGCAAATTGTATCATTCTTTTTAATATTTAATATATATTAAATTGACCTAATACATGAATATTAATAAAAAGTTTTATTTTTTATTGATTAGAATTTTGTAAAATCAATTAAAATATCATAATTTTAATTGTCTTTGATTATTTATTTTTAAAATAAAAGTAATGAGATTGAAAGGAAAAAATTTCAAAAAAATATCCCTTAAAGGTGAAACAATGAATTTAAAGAATTATTATTTTTATACTTAAACTATAATTATATTGTAAGTATATAACTTTTTTGATGTCTAATTGAGATTTTTAATAAAAAAATTAATGTAATTTTTAAAATTTTCACGTTGATAAGAAATCAAATGTCTTGTTAATATTTTCGTCTTAAAAAATATATAATTTTGACCTTTTACCACTTACCCTGAAAATATAGAAGACAGTTTTAAAATAGACCTCAAACATTTTATTTTATAATAAAACATACAATTTTGTTTTAAACTTTCTAAAAGAAGTTATTTGAAGACCCTATAATTTTAATGACCTATTAAAATTTTGTAATATAATTATAATTTATAAAAAAATATTATTACAATTTTAAAATTTTATATTTTATTTCTATACCTTTTACATTTTATTGATCAATTTTAGAGGCGTTTGCTCCCCCCTCAATTATTGGCCTACAATTCAACCAAAAAAGAAGCATCATTGGTTGAAGGAGCTTCTGCGGTGCAGCGACTAAAACCGGCGTTCGGTTAAAATTTAGATCGATTATGTTATATTATTTAACCGGAAATATTATCAATTACAATAACATATTAGGTAGCGCTTATATAATAAAATAAGCATTTAACCGAAAATATTATTAAGTATAATAACATATTAGGTAACGCTTATATTGACCTATTATCTAAGTAAACTGGTATATTTATACCGGTAACATTACAAATTTACCTATTACATTATAATTATCGGTTTCGATTTTTTTGGATCGATATAATTTTAAATGTATCGACACTTTATGCATGCACCTCGTTGGTCCTTCATTCTGGAAAAAAATATCAACACAAAGTTAAAAAGTGTTGATACATAATTTAGACCTATTTTCTCATAAAACCGGTATATTTCTATAGGGTACATTGTAAATTTACCTATCACATTGTAATTATCGGTTTCGATGTTTTTGGGATCGATAATTTTAATAAATGTATCGATACTTTATGTGTGCACCCTGTTTGACATTCATTATGGACAAAAAGTATCGACACAAATTTAAATGGTGTCGATACTTTATGCTGACATATTTTCTCATAAAACCAGTATATTTATACCAGTTACATTGTAAATTTAACTATTACATTATAATTATCGGTTTCAATGTTATTGGATCGATACTTTTAATAAATGTATCGACACTTTATATTCTGGACAATAAGTATCGACACAAATTCCAAAAGTGTCGATACATTATGTTGACCTGTTTTCTAATTAACCGGTATATTTATACTGGTTACATTGTTAATTTACCTATTACATTATAATTATTGGTTTCGATGTTTTTGGGGTCGATACTTTTAGAAAATATATCGACACATATTTAGCTAGTTATTGTACATACCTAAATATGTCATGCGAATTTAATGTTGTACCCACCCTTTAACTACCACTAACAATACAACATCCTATTGAAAGCACAACTGAAACATGTTCAATGAACCTTTACTTACATCTCCATCAACTCCGAGACCACTGAACTTGCACAACAAAATTTTTGCCATGGATCATACTGATGCAGACAATGTTAAGCCAACCGAAGAATGCCATGAAGTACATAATGTTGATGAATCTGACAGATTAGTTGGTCAGCTCTTCTCTTCACGTGATCAAACTTGGTACTTTTACAAGGGATTCGCACGGGAACATGGGTTTAGTGCACATAAGGGAACAACACGGCTTGACGTGGAAGGGAATGTGAAGACACAAGAATTTTGTTGTTCCAAATAAGGGTTTCGAGTATCAAAAGTCAATACTGTTGATCGTCAACGTGCTCATACGCCAATCACAAGAACATGATACAAGGCTAGAGTCGTAGTTACAACAACAAATACAAATGATCAGTGGGTTATAAGTAAGTCTTATCAGAAACATAATCATGCATTGTGCACACCTGCTATGACACCATTTATGCGTTCTAATAGAGCTGTAAGTAAGGTTGATATCGATGAGGCAACAACATTGAAAGAGGTCGGTGTTGGAACGTCACAAGTAATGAACTATTTAACGCAGCAGGCAGGGGGCTATCATAATGTTGGATTTACACATAAAGACCTGTACAATGCACTTCAAAGAGGTAAAGCAAAGGAAATCGTCGATGGAGATGTGAATGCGCTTATTGCTTACTTTGATTATAAGAAACATGATGATCCCGGGTTTTTTATGACATACTCGGTAGACGAATTAGAGGTATTGTATAATCTTATTTGGTCGGATTATACATCGAGATCAGATTACACATGCTTCGATGATGTAATTACGTTCGACACAACATACAAAAATAATTTGTATGGTCGACCAATTATGCCTATTGTCGGTGTCAATCATCACCATAACACAATTGTGTTTTCCACTGCAATAATCACTGACGAGACGTCCCAATCTTTCGGGTGTGTGCTATAGAAGTTTTTAGAAGCCATGATGAATAAATCGCTTATTTCAGTTGTCACCGATGAGGATAGGGCAATAGAGAGGGCTATCAAATCTGTTATGCCTTATGCTAAGAACATATTATGTTTTTGACATTTTTCTCGCAATGCACAAGCTAACATTGGTGACCCAAAATTTACAGCAGCATTCTCAGAATTCAACGTCGAAAAGCATCCAAGGGTGATTGAGAAGGGAAATACTTGGCACTTATGGGCACAAGCATATCTAACTGGTCATTTCTTTGCCAATATTCGCTTAACACAAAGGTGCGAGTCTATGAATGTTTCACTCGCGATTGCACTGAAACACAAAAAGACATATTTAGATGATGTTCGTGCAATTGAAGATGGAATTAGTAGAATGCGTATGAATGAGTTGAAAGTGGATTACTTAAGTTCCCAGACGAAGCTCTTCCAGATCACAAAACTGGTCGACCTTGAAAGCCATGCTGCTGAGATTTTTACTCGCGAATCTTTTCGTGCATTCCAAGATGAACTTCAACAGGAGACATTATACCGGATTCAGGAAGAGATTCAGTCCTTATCAGATGAATGTCAACATTATATTTTGACAAAGTACATAGGAAAAAATAGGACATTTGAAAATAGTTTTGATTCTCGTACGGAAACCTTAAATTGCTCCTGCAAAAAATTCGAGACCGTTGGACTTCCGTGTCGCCATCAACCTCACATTTTGAAGCACTTGGATTACACATATTTGCCCGTGACTTTGATTCAAAGTAGGTGGACTAAGGATGCGAAGGCTTCTGCACCCAAATTTTGTTGACTTGAATGTGCCTTCAGAAGTGATGCAAATGACAAGGTTCGCTGCTCTACGTTCAACGTCAAGTAGGTTTTGCTATATTGCATCAAAGTCAGACGTGTTTTTCAAAACCGTAAGAGATGAGATGAAAAAACTAACAGAAGAATTTGAAAACTCGTTTGGTTTGAATGATTCAGTCAACCAGAGCAGTGTAGTAAACAACGTTCGCGACCCTCAACAAAAACAAAGCAAGCGAAAAGAAGTACCGAAGAACAAGGTCGAGAAGAAAATTAGGCGATGTGGGTACTGCAACGGTGAGGGACATAACAAACTAACATGTCCTCAAGTCAAGCTCAGTTTGAATACAAGCATACAACCTACATCAATTGATTTTTCGAAGACGTAATGGAATGGCCATTCAGTCCCGCACGCAATGACAACGATCTCCATATATCGTAAGTATCAACATGACTCCTATTGTGTATAAGAAACATGTACAACAACCTATTGCTAACTTTTCTCATCTCATACATAATTACATTCACATACAAAATTATAAATCATATACAACATTATAAATCTTATGCAAAATTAAACCTACATTAACAAAATTTCCTTTCTTAATCTATTTTGATTGTGGCTTACAAGACCGTTTAATATTTCATCTGCATCATCACAAAATGCCAAACAATCTGTAGACTAGAGTCTCCCGTAATCATGGCCAGAATCAGTTCTGTAACTGGGATTATCCAGGTTAATCATGTTGACTGCATAGCCAATAAAACTTGGGGGTCCAAATGGTAAGCTAGGAATTGGTAAGGCAAGTTTTCTTTGAGGGTTTAGGGTTTAGAGTCCTCCGACATAAGGAGTGCATGATTGAACATTACATATAATACTTGTATTCAGTTGTTGAAGAATTGTTGTTAATTTTATATAAGGATAGTTGTTATGATATACGTTCACGTTTCGGGACCAATTAGTTAGATGCATGTAGTAGCCTATATCCTCGAGGCAAAGCACAAGAATTTTGAAACTTAAATATTTACCAAGAGCGGTAGCTTTTGCTCTGCAAGAAGACCGAACCTAGAATCAACTTTGCAATCATGCCTATCATGATGAAGAAAACATGCTGAATAATAGGATTTGCACACAACTGCAAGTATTTTAAACCCTAAACCCAACTTTGCAATCATGCCTATCATGCTGAAG